ATAATTTCATTTCAAAATATTTCCAAGCCAAAAAGGAAAATGTCAGATTATTTGAATTTTTAAAAGATATTGTAATCTGTTTGGCAACTGTGTTTTTCCATCATGTTTTGTAGTTTAGCTGTGAACCAACGTTTTGTTAAATTTGTATAGCTGACCATGTCACCGTGTCACTTTGTCTGACTTTAAACTTTGTACGTGCATAGTTTAATATTTTACTGCCTGACACAGAAGCACTTTGTATTTCAAAAAAGTCATACTCTAAGGAGGTGGGAATCTTTTTAAATGTCTAAGCTCCTTGGATAAACCACTGCTCAATTCCTTTTGTACTTTTTACAGCAGTTACCACATTGAATTTTCTAAAATGTTTTGTATTCCAGCACAGATGAAGAATTTGTCTCTTCTTTTTTTTAAATTGTGGTTTTAAATATAACACCAATTTCTTTGTAAATTTGATTGTTTTTGCTTCGTTCTTTGATGTGTGAATCTCATTTCTCTGTTGCAAGTCTTTTGTGTATTCTTTGATTTTATTTATCAAAGCTCCAATTCTTTTTCGTACATAACATAGTTTATAATCAAACTGCAACATAATTATAACAAAGCTTTTTTATCATTTGATAAACAAACATAATACAACATAATTCATTATTCCTTATTTCACAATATGTTATGACGAAAATATATCACAATCACATAATAGAAAAAATATTATCGCACTTCATAGTTTTTTCAACCCCAAAACTAGAAAAAAACAATGCGTTTTTCAGAAAAAGACTGAATACTTCAACAAATATTTTTTTAAATAATGAGTTTCATATTTCTCAACATATTATACAGAATTGACATTTTGAGTTTTTAAAAATTAAAACATGAACTATCCCAAAACCCTCTCCCATCCTTTCCTCCTCTCTAACTCCTTGGTCTTATCCCCCTCTCCCCTCCCCCCTCCCCTCCCCCTTCCTTCTACTTGTGTGGATAGGGCATGCATTCTGGTACAGGTTTCTTTACAATGTCGAAATGACTTAAGCTGTTGACTTCGTTTCACCTCTACCTCGCTTTCCCTTAAACTTCCCAGTTTTCCCATTTTCACTGATGTGGGGGAAATTTATTTCTCACCAATGCCAATTTATTTTCCTCCAATTCAACTTCTTTGAAACTGTGTTAAATTTCATCCACGGTTATACATAAACTCCATTCTCTTCCCATGAAAATCAAATACTTTACCAGAATTAAAAAGTGATTTACCAATTGCTCCTGTCCTTGATCAATTCTGCAAGTCTGCACATGATGATCGATATTTGAATCTACCGTTTTATGCCAACATTTCTATCAAATTCAAAATCTCTTTCTCTACAAGTGTAACTCTCCAATCTCTCTCTCTCTCCCCCCCCCCCTCTCTCTCTCTCTCTCTCTCTCTCTCTTTCTCTCTCTCTCTCTCTCTCTCTCTCTCTCTCTCTCTCTCTCCCCTCCCTCCCTCCCCCTCCCTCTCTCTCTTTCTCTATCTCTCTGTTACTCATAAAACTGTATTATTTGTACCACAGTATGAATAAAAAGCCTTATTATACCGGTTCTGTTATTGATAATAAACAATGATTGTCACGTAACTTAACACTGATCGGTCCTGTTATATAATGTGGATGAAATGAGAATTGAAAAATTGACAGGGGGGCCAGAGCCGAGGATGCGGGAGGGGTCCAACTTCTTTTAACGCCCCACTGCACTAATAGCTACTTAATTGCGTCCTCTACACTGAGCAAACGATGCCTAGATAATCGGTGCCTGTTGGTCCCCTATGATCCCTTTTTCGTACATTAATTGAGAGCTGATTTTATGTGATAACCACCTGTCAGTGACCTTGCAGGGAGGTCTAATATCCCTGGCCAAACTAGTGCAGACGGGCTTTAAGTTTATTACTCCTTATCATTTACATTATCTCTATCTCTTTCTCGATCTCCTTCGGATCGATATTTGACCGAGGGGCACATGTACCCACGTCTCCTATGCTAAGTTATTTCTCTGTCATTGCTGAACAATAGCCCATAGGAGCCCCCCCCCCCCCCCCCCGTTCCATACTGTTTCGATTCTTTATTTTAAAACAAGTTTAGGGCTAATTAGCTGGTGTCAAAGTCCGAAAAACATGCATACATGCTGTGCAAATAAAGAATACATATCTGGCTGCATATAATGACTATGACTATGATTGGACGTTTAATTACAATCGACGTTATTTTGCCCCCCCCCCCCCCCCCCCCCGCCGTACCAAATTCCAGGGTACTTTTCGTATTGTATTTATTAACTGCGGCTAAAAATAACACTTCCGAGTTGCGATCAACGTTCCTTGTGCATTATATTACGCCTGCTGCGTAAAAGGTACGGATAATATACTCATTCATTATCTCTCACAAATGCCATCATAATGTGAGCTATAATAGCTAGCGCTAATTCTACATTAATATACTTTTTATAGTACGAACCAAATACGATTTGGCCGTTGCATGATGCCCCTGATGTTCATAATGATGATATGTTATATGGATAGAGCATATATGCCTCGTTGCTTGAAGTTGTATGGGGTGAGCCGCGACATTGACGTTGAACGTGCGTGGATATATAATAGGACGACTATACGATACCACACTGTATTATGTGCTCTTCTACCGGTGTATACCGTATCCGATTTTAAAGGCCACTGACAAAGTGTGTAGGACGTATTTCGTATTATTTTATGGAATACAAATACTTCTTTTTGATCGCTTAGACCCTATTCGCAGTTTGCATGGCAAATGAATTCATCAATATTGAAATTGTAGACCTATATTATCCTTTCAATCTTAAATATAAGCACAGCCCGGAGCCGACTAAATATGTACAATTTATTATGACAGATAGTAAAGAGATCAATTAAAGAGCTAAGATGGGAAGACAGACAGATCAAGAGGGAGTAGCAGGGAAGGGAGAGAGGGAGAAAGAGAGGGGGAGAGCCGGGAAAGAGCCAAGAAGCGATCGAGAAAGTGTGTGAGAGAGAGAGAGAGAGAGAGAGAGAGAGAGAGAGAGAGAGAGAGGAGAGAGAGAGAGAGAGAGAGAGAGAGAGAGAGAGGGAGAGAGAGAGGGAGAGAGAGAGAGAGAGAGAGAGAGAGGAGAGAGAGAGAGAGAGAGAGAGAGAGAGAGAGAAAGAAAGGGGGAGAAGGGGGAGGGGTGACTAACTAAAGGTAAAGTATGAGATAACTGGGGCGGGGTATTGGACTGTCAGCAAAAATCAAGCTTCCATGACATTTGCTCCGGCGACAATTGCTCCGCTGTAAATTTCATACACTAATCGAATGGCTAACTTCAACCCTGGATTCAACACTATACCCTACCCTAAACCTAACCCTAAACCTAACATAAAACCCTATTGAAACCCTAACCCTAACCCTACATCTTAGACGAAATAAAGCCCGGATCAATATTGTCGCAGGAGCAAATGTCGTGTCACCAAATCAATGCTGAAAGAATAGGGGATACATGTACCGTGTGAGTCAAAAAAAGGTTACACCTAGAAAATGGCTAATTATTTTAAAAATTATCTATGAACAGTAAATTATTATACATCTTATGAAAGAGTTTTTATCCCAACTCATATTTAGTACCATTTTTGTGTGGTATGTGTTCACGCTTGGATGAACAGGTGGCATTGTTTGCGAGAGTACAAAAATCGACTTGCGCCAAAGTGATGCCTTCAATTATGTTGGGATTAGCGGAGTGAGAGAATGGATTGAATGTATCAAATGAAATGCATTACATATGTTTTTTTGCAAAGGGCAAAGTCACACACACCCACACACACGCGCACAAATGTTCATTGATATTTGGTATTCGATATTTGATATGTGTGACATGATTAATTTTGTTAGGTGTGTTATTTGGATATGCAAAGACCGAATTGATACCCGAATCCCAATTGTTTTTATTCAAACATCACATAGGCAACTTTGGCGCAATTCGATTTTTGCACTCTCGCAAACAACGTCTCCTGTTCATCCAAGCGTGAACACATACCACACAAAAATGGTACCAAATGATTTGGGATAAAACACTCTTTCATAAGACATATAACAGTTTAATTTTCATCGATAATTTTTTTAATAATTAGCAATTTTCTAGGTGTAAACTTTTTTTTGACTCACTCTGTATACAGGGCGTTAAGATACTGCGCCAATAATCATGTTTGATTTCATTCGAAAAAATATCATCCGGCAGTCATGTCGACTGCACTCGTGCACTTAAGGGACAATTTAGGCATAATTTCCAATCCCCGCCCCCCCCCCCCCCCATCCATCTGACAGGCCAAGACGCAGTCTCGATATAGACACAGACGCAACTCCGTGACGCAGCTATATAATCGTATGATTCACTATCGCAAGGATTTTGATGCGTTCGAAAATCAAAGTTGACGGAACACTGGTGTTACAAATCATTCAATGTAGACATACCAGTGAGCGGGAAAGAACACTGGGTTGATCTCATGGAGCAGGGGGTGTTTCACAAATACTAAAATCGACTTTAAGTTGGACTTAACTATGGCAGGCCGTTCATGCCAGCTAGTTCCTCTAACCATTCCTGGTATTGGTTTCTCAAGGGACATATAAATTGTGATCACAAATCTACAGAATGTCTTTTTTGATAGTTCATTATTGAAGGAAAAAATATTATCTAAAAGATAACTGAGAGACCAACAGTGAGAGCAACCAGTGGCATGAACGGCCTGCCATAGTTAAGTCCAACTTAAAGCCGATCTTAGTCTTTGCGAAACACTCCCCAGGTCAGTAGCCTTTTCTTAGCTTTTAACTGTGATATGAAATATTTTAGCGCAATGGCCGGTGACGCCTCCTGTATAGCCAGCGTAGTTTAATATAGACAGTACAAAATCTTTGTGTAGGTATAATATACATATTATTATGACGAAATTGTTGTTGACGCACGCGTTCAGTTGACGTATGAAGTTGTTCATCAAACACCACGATAGCCTTGTTTGAAGTTAATGATTGCATTTCAATTTCTTTTCTTTATTACTTCCAGAATCATCGCCTAACAAGTTTCTATAACTAAATCATCAACGAAGAGCAACATGCGTCTACCTAATATTCCAGCTCTCCTTCAGATATTCCTTCTAGTATGGACTGGTCAAGAGGTCAAATCTGCCAACATCCTAATGTCAGGTTTGGTCGGCAAAGGGAGCCATTTTCTTTCCCTCGTTCCGATCGGGAAAAGACTAGTACGACAGGGGCACAATGTCACTTGCCTCATCATGGATGAATACAAAGAGAGAGCTGACGATCCCGAGCTTAAGAAATACTTCAACTTTGAGATATACAAAAACACCGATCCTCACTACACAACGAAGGAATACTTCCAATTTGTCTCGGAGTTAGCCTTTAACGAAAATGGTGGCTTGAGAAGCTTCGGCAAAATGATGTACTTGACGAAAGAACTTCTCCGCAAGTCTTGTCTTTTTGTCTTGGAAGATAAGGAGATGATGAAACGTCTTGAGAAGATGGATGCCATTGTGAGTGACGTTAGTTGGCTCTGCAGTAGTGTGATAAAGCTCTACTTGAAGAAACACGCTAATACTGATATTCGTATCATTTTAAACGTACCCAATACACCAAACGCGATGATCTTAGACCTTGCCGGATCTCCGGTTAATCCGGCCTATCAACCAAGTACGATGTCCGGCCTCACTTCAAATATGACTTTTATCGAAAGAACAATCAACACAATATCTACTGCCGTTTTCCGCTCTTTTGGCAACCAAATGGGGTCTTACTTTATGTCATTTGCAGAACAGTTTTGACTTGGAAGATGAAATAATGGCGATGGGTCCGCCAGCGGCAGATTTGTTCCTGGGGAATTTTGACTTCGCAGTTGAATTTCCATTTCCTATCACCCCGAATGTTATCCCGGTAGGAGGTGTAACTGCGGAAGCACCAAACGACCTTCCTCAAGAACTGGAAGACTTCATCCAGAGTTCTGGAGATGACGGGATTGTGGTGTTCACCTTGTCAACCTACTTCGCGTCTGTCACGACATCCAGACCTCACCTACTGAAGATGTTCATCGATGCGTTGGCTAAGCTCCCCCAGAAGATCATCATCCAGCTCAAGGTCATGCCCCAGTACGATCTCCCGCCAAACATTAAAGCGTTGCCATGGCTACCTCTGAATGACCTCCTGGGTCATCCCAAAACTCGGCTCTTCATGTATCATGGCGGAAACAACGGCTTCTACGAAGCTGTGTACCACGGCGTACCCGTCGTCGTCGTACCGTTCATCGCGGATCAATTCGACACCGCGGTCAAAGTCACGTCGCATGGGATGGGACTACAGCTCGACAAACACACGCTCAGCGCCGACTACATTCACAAGCACGTCGCACAAGTGTTAGGAGACGAGAAATACAGCTTAGCAGCCAAACGTTTGTCCACCATCTTACGATCTCGACCAATGGAACCGGTTGATCGAGCTGCCTTTTGGATTGAACACGTGATTAAACATGGCGGAGATTACATGCGATCCCCTGGGAAGGATCTATCGTTTATCCAATATAATTTGATTGACGTTTTTACATTTTTGATAGGAATCGGGGCACTTCTTTTATTCGCATTCTACAAGATCATGCGCTGTTGCATTTCGTGCTGCTGGCGAAAAAAAAATAGCCAAAAGAGTAAAAGTGAATGAATTAAAAGTAAGATATGACCTATAAGCCGATAGAGTTGTAATATATTTTTCTTATCTCTTTACATGAAATGATCGTGACAATATGATTAATTCTTGACAGATTAAATTTATCTTTTCAGAACTTTGTTGATCAGTCTAAAGTGTCATAGAGATTGATCGATAAAGTTCGGAAAATATTATAAACTTTTTTTTAAAATCAAGAATAAACGACATTGTCACAATCATTTCATACAAAAAGGTAAGAAAAAAATGTTCCAACTTTATGGGTGACAGTATATACACTATTTGTTAAAGTCATTTTTATCTATCAACGTTAGGCCTGACAATAGCTAATTGATCATGAATGATTGATTTATCCAAGTTTTCTTTGTGTTAAGCCCATCGCACGCTATGCGGTCCGACTTGGAAAGAATTTGCAAGCATTTGATAAGAACATTCAAACATGTAAAATCTTAATGATGACCGAAGATCTGAATAGATTATGATTAAGAAAATCTATCTTTCAAAGGATTTCATGCCTCCTTGTAAGAGGAGAAACTTAATCGGCTCAGAATGGACAGACCAGTATTATAATTAATAGTGCGATCGTTGTTATACATTATTTAGATGTTGCGCAAGCCTCGGTCACAAATGCCATTACGAACTGCTACGAGCGAACGCCGTACCGGCGCCGTACGAACGATTTTCAGACCATGAAAATCGGGAAGACCACGGAAAAACAAGGAGATTCGTACGAACGCATCGTCCGTACGAACCTTTGTGACCGTAGCTTTAGTGGAGCCAAATAAATGAGAAATGAAATGAAATCAACTGTGTTTGTTTTCACTGACAGCGAATGAAGGGAAACGAGTAGGATATTAGTGAAATGTGGCTTGATTGTGGCAAGAGGGCGTTTGTGGGATATCGAGCTATAGCAACTTTGGAACAGAGAAAGGGAAGAATGTGCATCTTTTCTTTTCAAAGTGCTTTTGTTGTTGTATATTATTTTAGATGTTGCTTTGGAGTGAAGCCAAAAATATGAGAAATAAAATGTAATCGACTGTGTTTCCTTTCGCAGCGAATGAAAGAAAATGAGCATGATTCAAACTCTGTTTTCTGATATTATTGACTTTTAGATTTGCACGTCGACATAGTGGACTGCTACGTGTGACGTCCTTTAAAGGCCCCTCAAAAGGACGTCACACGTAGCAGCAAATTTAAATCTATTATTGAAAGTGGGCTTGTTTACGGGAAGAGGGCGTAGGTCGGATATCGATCGAGCAACTTGGGGGCAGAAAACGCGAACATAATAATGATTTTCTTTTATAAGTCTCTCTAAGATATCGTTTGTTCTTTGAATAAATTGAATAGATGAGATCGTTGAGCTGTACACCCAGCCAAACAAAAGAAAATCAATCGTAATAACGCAGTCGTCATTGATTCATACCTCGACGGGAACTGGAACTGAGGGGAGTCACATAGGTATAGACCTACAGAGGGAGAGACTGGAACCGAAGGAGAAAAAACAGTCCATTGCGGTGACGATAATTATCATCTACATGATCAGGACTTCAAACATAGTACTTGGACCTAATTATACCATTACTGCATTTGTAAATACCCATAATTACGTTAGATTAACTTATGGATATTAATCGAAGCATTGGGAAGAATTCGTAAACAACGATACTAGTTCGAAGTGGTGGATTCTGATCTGTACGGTGGATATTCACTTGTTTGTATTTGGAATTAGAGTTTAAAGTAACAGCATATACACCAAGCATCATTTAACCATGGTAAGTAGTTTTATTTCAAATATATTTACTATCTCACCCATCATTCGTAGATTCTAGTTCTAACGTATTACGTCATAATCATGAAATGTTATGATTGACGAGTATGAAACCATTAATGGGAGATCCAATGTTGATAGCAAACTACTTTAGAAACAGCTGATGCAACCCCACCCCCCGAAAGCAGCTCTCCAGTTTCTGAATAGCCCGCTTGTGAGCGAAGCGAGCGGTCACCAAAAAAAAAGAAGACACTTCATGTAGTGGAATTTAGACCTACAGAATTCTGGCACACATCGCTACCCAAATATGAGGATATTCGGTCATCTCTCTACCCGCATAATATATAAGGGTGTATAGTGGTTGCCCGAATATGGTAACTTTGAACATACGATGGCTGCAGCCAGGCGCGTACACAGGGGGGGGGGGGGGGGGGGGGGGGGGGGGGGGGGGGGGGGGGGGTGGGGGGGGGGGGGGGGGGGGGGGGGGGGGGGGGGGGGGGGTTGGGGGTTAAACCCCCCCCCCCCCCACTTTGGTATTTTTTTGTGTGTAAACCCCCCCCCCTTTGGGGTTTTTTTTTTTTTTTATTATTATTAAAAAAAAAAAAAAAAAAAAAAAAAAATCCCATGGCTGACCTCAAAAGGATGACCTTACCCCCCCCCAGCGGAGCAAAAATGTCAAATTTTCAAATTTCAATACCCCCCCCCTCAAAAAAAAGTGTCCTCTTACCCCCCCCCCCCCCCCCCTCTCCCCCCCCCCCCCCCCCCCCCCCCGCTTATTCAGCGGCTGGCTGAGTCGTTGCGAAATTTTCGGCCCGATTTATAAATGTTAAACCCCCCCACCCCCCCCCCCCCCCCTTGAAAAAATCCTGCGTACGCGCCTGGCTGCAGCCCCTTGGCCCCTTCTCCGTACCCCTATGAGTACCTTATCATCATCATTATCTTTATACCCAGTTTCGGCCTGTTCGTATGTTTTATTATAAAATACTTCATTACCGTGTAATTATGTATCACATCATATTAGAATGGTTTTAAAATATATCATCTCGTTTAGTACATGTTTCAATGTTTTTCTTTATTTATGGATAGGCGGGGAATATTGGAGGGAGACATGTCGACCTCTGTACTTTCAAGGATAGGGGACGTCCTTCATAAATTTTGGAGAAGTGTCTACACCTCCATTACTACTGAATAATCGGGCCCCCTAGACAGTAAACTTTGAAGACTGAAATAGCAGTAATTAAAACTCAATGTCTGCATTGCATTTTCAATATAGTCACGAAACCTTGTGTTATGTATTTACTAAACAATAATCCCAGTGCCTATTTGTTTTGAGGATAAACACATTCCTCAGAACAGGCTTTATTCTGAAACTAGATACCATTATTTGGTGTGAAGCTACATTTAACAAATGGTTATTGTGTCTTCAAGGTCTACTGACGAAGTCAACCATGAGTAAGAGAGTTATTTGAATATTTTGCAACAACAATGAATGTCATCTGAAATTTGTCTACTTTATACCACTATCATATTGCTGCCTAAAGTGCTTCAAATGGATCGAGTCCACTGTGTTTCGAACTTTCCACCCCCTCACACGCTTATTACTTACCCATGGAAAAACGGTTGTCTTGGGAACCACTTCTATCTTTACAGATGGGGTGCAGGGCTTTTGCCGGGAGTCCGAGGGGCGGAGCTCCAGGACATTTTTGAATTTTTAAAAGCTATTAAATTCAAAATAGTCTAGAAATTGTAAATTCCTTTTTGAAAGTCTACCCGGTTTTAGATTAGGTCGCGTTCTATTCACATATTAGGCCAGCTAGTGCCCACCCCTTCAATATTTTAACCCGTGCTACCCCCACTGAAATAAGGGGTTCTGGACCGAAAGGTTTCATTTGAACCCCCTCAGTTTTTACCTTTTAAAACTGTCACCTCACTTTACATGACTATATTCGGCCAAAAATTACACCGGGCAGATTATAAGCAGGGTTATAAAGGTCAACCATGACGACTAACAGTCACGGCCGCGGACTGGTTTTAAGTGCATGATAATATGTGTTGGTGGCGGTGGTGGTCGTGGTGGAGATTGTGGTAACGGTAGTAGTTGATGGTGTTAGTGGTATGTTTTTTTTTCTGTTATTGGTGTTTGTCGTTGCTGTTATTGTTGTTATTGTTGGTGGATGTGGTGGTGGTGGTGGTGGTGGTGATGCATGGTGCTCATCGTCGTGGTGATGGTGGCAATTTGATAGTGGTTGGTGTTGGTGATGTTGTTGGTGGTGGTGCCGGTAGTTTTTATGGTTTATGTTGTTAGTGAGCATTTAAGGTGGTGGCAGTGTGTTGATGTTGGTGTTGGTGGTGGTCGTGGAGATGGTGATGGTGGTGTTGGAGTCGACCCTTTGATCATCACAGCAACGTTAACACCGATCACGCTTGAATTCTCGAAAATAGAGGTGATTCAAACTTGTTGGCGAGGATGGTGTTAACCTTACACCTGTATGTACATGCATATCAGGCTTAAATAAACTAAGCACTTTTGATCTGGTCTTTACCTGTGTTTCGAACCTATAATCCTGATGAAGAAAGAGCCAGAAAGTCAGAAAAACCCAGAAAACAGAAACAGGGAAAGAACACGTAAATAAGACAGCTGGACCAGCTCCTGTACCCCCTGATCAATAATTATGATTGTCATTATTTTCCAAAATAAGAGCGGTGCACCCTCTATCATTACAGTGCCCCCCCCCCCTCCCATGGATGGACGCAATGTCTCTCTGTTTCTGCTGATATCTGCCATATATTAATTTTTATATCATCTTCTATTCTCCTTATCAAATCAAATCAACCCCCGTTTCGGCTTTTCTTTACAGGCAGAGAAAGCAGAGGTCACCTTGGACAAGAAACAAATGGATGGTATTTAACCTTTGACATTCGATTTTAGCAACTAGTTAAAAACGACGAAATTTATCAGTTCTAAATGAGTGTAGGAAACGCATTGTAAATTATATAAACCAAAGAATATGTTATGGTTATCATTATAGTTATCATTATTGTTATTATTATTATTATTAGTAGTAGTAGTAGTAGTAGTATTGTTCTCATTGTTAGTATTATTATCATTATCATCATTGTTATTATCTTTTGTTTATCATTATTATTATTATTATTATTATTGTTATTGTTATTGTTATTCAAGATTTAAGATTTTATTGTCCATATATAATACAGAAATTTGTTTCCACTGGTGTAACATGTAATATGTAACACATAAGACAAAACATGGTGTCGTGTGCTGAAAGCCAGAAGGGCGTCAAGACTCTATAAAGAAAAAGTCTATGAGCAGGTACGGTCCTCCGGCTTTCAGCACAAAACATAACAAGATAATTATATGACTTATACATAACAATAATTTTAAATACAATTCTGAATCACATCAACACATTACCAACAATGTTTTTGTAGTTTTCGTTGTTATAGTTGTTAAATCTTCAATTATTACTATTTTTCATCACTCTCTTTATATAGTGCTTAAGAAAGCCTTTGCCGTGTTTGATAAGGATGGTGATGGAATCATTACCGGGAAGGAGCTGGGTAATGTGATGAGATCCATGGGAGAAAACCCGACAGAGAACGAGGTTCATGAGATCGTCAACGAACTCGATATGAATGGTAGGTATAATTGGACAAGTAGACAGAATACAGAAGAAAGAAAAGAAGAGAGTAGTTGTAGTAGTAGTAGTAGTAGCAGCAGCAGTAGTAGTAGTAGTAGTAGTAGTAACAGTAGTATAGTAGAAGTAGTAGTACTTTTTTTGGTGTGTTTTTGTTGGAAACCCCCCGCCCCTCAAATGTTTGTTTTAATTTAAAAAAAAAAAAAAACAAAAAATCGTGCTATTGGGTGACCCCAAAAAGGTGACAATTTACCCCCCCCCCCCCCAACGGAACGATCGGTCAAAATTGCAAATTTTCGGGACAAACAAAATAAAAATAAAAAAATTGTGCTATTGGGTGACCCAAAAAGGTGACCTCCCCCCCCCCCCCCCCCCCCCCCCCCCCCCCCCCCCCCCCCCCCCCCTCCCCCAACGGAACGATCGGTCAAATTTGCGAATTTTCGGGACAAAAACAAAAGTGCTCTTGTAGTAATATAATTTGTAGTAGTACTCTGTATTTGCACATGGTCCATGAGAAGCCTTTTTGATCAAAAAGTCGAAAACAGGGGTGGGGCACCTTTCTTGGTTAGTGATATGTCACTTGTGCCCCGTTCAAAGATGACGGAGTAAACCGCAGGGGAGAAAAAAAGTTGGAATTTTAACAGAAATGTTAAGCTCAATTATTACATCTTTAATAAACACGCTGCGGTTTACCAACTCATATCTGAAAGAGGCTTAATTATTTTGGTCTATTCCTTGAGAACTTATGTGATGGTGAGGTGGACGAGTGGATATGTCACCGGACTGTGGATCACAAGGTCCATGGTTCAAGTCCCACCACGGCACTAATGTCCTCCCTTTGGCAAGACATTGATCTACATTTGCCACTCTCCACCCGGGTGTTAAATGGGTACCCGGTAGGATGCGAAAGCTAATGTGCTTAGATGAGCAAGTGTGCGCTTGTAAAAATGATGCCTGGTTGGAATGCTCCACAGGGAGTTGAGAATGTGCATACATTGTGTGCGGGTAAGCCTGAATCCGATGACCACGGTAATAATATGATTGCAAGGCCCTCAGGGAGAACAGTATGAATACTGATGAGGCTACCCTGGGTAAACAAGACATATTATTATTATTATTATATTATTATAGTACTGTCATTCAACCATCAGGGAACGGGCAAATCGACTTTGCTGAGTTCGTGGGAGTGATGTCGAAGAAGATGAACGATATGGACAACGCTGAGGATATCCGTGAAGCTTTCAGAGTCTTCGACAAGGGAGGAAATGGATATATCGAGTGAGTAGAGAGACGGTGGCGGATCCAGGACTTTTTTAAATACCTCTCCCACAGTCCCCTCCCCCCCCCCCCCCCCCATCACCAAAAGAATGAAAGAAGAGAAGTAAATAACATTTCTTTGACGCTACTTTGATTTAAACATCTCTGAAAAATAGACAATTTGGTACCTCCCCCACCACCAACAAAAAAAGGAATGAAAGAAGAAGAAGAAGAGAAATCACATTTCTTTGACACTACTTAAATTTAAAAATCTCTGAAAAATATAGAATTTGGTACCTCCCCCACCACCAAAATCAACATTTACATCGTAAATGGCAATGGTCTATTTAAATATGTCATTGGTGTAGTCAGTTACGAAATTATGTAAAAATGTAAATTAGAACTAAGAGAGAAAGAATGAATGAAATAAATATATAAGAATGAAATAAATAGAATTTATTAAATAAAAATACAAGATATGAATAGAAAACGAATGAAATGAGGAGAAAAGGAAATTTCGAAAAATTGGGGGAAAATAATTAAGACGGGGGGGGGGGTAGAGAAAATCTGTACAAATATAGAAATAGACTTAAAAATAATGAGTAAAATGGAAGGGGAAAAACAGAAATTAACAGAAAACAGCCAAGATACAAGAAAACATGATTCTTTTGGGTATTGATTCTTTCAGGAATTCTGAACTCAAGCACGTTTTGACTTTCCTCGATATCCATAAGAGCGAGGTTGATGAACTCATCAAAGATGCTGACACCGACGGGGACGGTCGAATCGAATATGAAGGTAAGATACCCTGCCCCTTGAATGGCGTAGAGACAAGGTCACGTCGTGACGTGGCATACCTCCCCGTCCCCCGTTACGACGGTAATGATATGAAATTAAGATATTATGGCGTTACTGCAGGGGGCAAGGGAGCATTTGCCTGACCTCACCCCCCCCCCTCCAATACACACACGCTTAAATTAAACATGAAGGTAAGACAATGTGGTGTAACTGCAGGGAGCAGGGGGAATTTGCCCCACCCCCTCCCACACGCACACACGGTTGAATTGGATACGAAGGTAAGACAATATGGCGTAGCTACAAAGAGCACGGGATCATTTGCCCCCCTATCTACTCACCCATTGACAGAGACGGTCGAATTGAATATGAAGTTAAGATACTATGGCGTAGCCACACGGGCAAGAGGCCATTTCCCTCCTTAAATGGTGACGGTCGAATTGAATATGAACCACCATGGCGTAGTTTAAGGGGACACGGGAGCATGTCCCCCCCCCCCCCCCCCCCCTCCTCCTCCTCCCACTGATAGTATAGGTTGAATTGAATATGAAAATATGTTTCTGGGGGCGAGCGACATGACCCCTCCCCTCAAATCGACGGTGACGGTACATTATTGAATATGAATATAGAATACCTTATCGTAGGGCTTCTCAAAGTCCGGAACACAGGGTATGTCATTAACTCCTCAAAACGCTTTCGGATCGAGATAATAACTGCATGCTATTTCGTACAGACGGATATCATTGAATTGAATGAACTTAATATATCTTTCCTTTATTTTATTTTCTCCAGAATTTGTTCAAATGATGAACCTGGGTAACGAGAACAAGGGCAGCGCTACCGCCAATCTCATCAATGCAGTTCTTTGATATTTGGAAAGTAAAGTATTTCAAATTCTTTGAAGGTAATTAAATAAGAATTGCTTTTTAAAAAGCTGTCTATACGTTAGTAGCCGGACTTTGTTGCTTGTAATGGTAGAACACATGTTAATTCAAGGGTAGAAGAGTGGGGCAAGATCTGCCGGGCCTCTTTTCATAAAAAATTGTTTTCAATAACAAGTGCCGCATTTTTATAACAAACTTGCTCTCAGCCAATCAAATGCAACGATTTCAGTAGCCTATGATAACAGTTATTGTTTTTATTATTGTTTTTTTTTTAATTGATAACAAGTTTTATGAAACAGGACCCTGAAGAGCACCTTTTGTTCTTCTGTAATAATGCACTTGAGAACACCATACAAAAAATGCAGCTTAATTTGGCTAACGCGACGCGACTTTAACTAACCGTATAGTGAAAGCCTTGAAGCGTGCTCCAAAATATATATTCGCAATCGAATTATTTAAAATTATAATTGTCGCTTTTTGAAATTAAATATATGGATATTCTTTAGTAACGGACAGAAAACATTTTTATTTATCTTCACCTTGCCTCAGTATTTATTATGTAAATTATTTGTTGTGAAAATGGAGGCCAATTTCTGCGTATAGTTGACATTAGTGATAAGCGTCTGAATCTGAATATTTTAATCAATATTATATTGATTATATTGATATTACATTTGTATATTTTGTATACTAGGAACTACAAAATAAAAATTATCAAAGGAATCCTTTTGCCTCGAAATTTTACGATAAGTGATTTTCCTGTATAACTTTTGAAAAATGCAAAGAGATCTTGTGGAAAGAAGAAACATTAACAACTTTCTGCTTATTGTCCATAAATTCATGCGTAAATCTTACGTTCCTTTTTCATGTTTGTATTTTATGATTTTATCGACAATATTTGTTTCCGTATAGAACGTAAGAATATAGCATATGAGATGTTTATATTATTACGTATGCGGATACTTCGACGAAGTTAACAAATTTGTACAGTTTAAGTGATGATTATTACACAGTTGAGTACTTTTAAAGAATTTGGTATTGAACGATTGTTGATTTTTGTTTCTCGACATTCCCGTACATGTATTCAAAAGTTCTAAATCGTATTGATGAATGTATAAAACTTTAAATCATTCCTAATCTATTTTGATAAATTGGCTTAAAATATGCAAATGATTGCCTTGTGTGTTGAGTGCCTTAATTAATTAGGCTTATGTTTGTATTTATGAATGTATAAATCATTCCAAACTTATTTTGATAAAATGTTTTAAAATATGCAAATTGCCTTTGTGTGTTGAGTGCCTTAATTGATTAGGATTATAATTGCCTTGATCTTCCAGTAATCAATGAACTGTGGTGTTAAGGCGATCATAAAGACTTTAAAAAAAAAAAACGTAAGGAAAATTCAAAAGCTCTCTGCGAACTTTTGAAATGTGCGAACGTTGTAAAGACCAATTACGTAATCCAAGCATGAATTCAAAAGGAAAAACAATAGGGTATTGAATTTCCCTTGAGTTAGTTCTTCGAAAGTCTTGTGATCGTGTTTTTGTTTGTTGAAGAAAAAAATGAAGTGTTTGTTCATATGATGTAATTTGCCATGTCAATCTAGATTATGTATATTCAATGTATAATACCTAATTCATGTCACATGCAACACCCGGTACCAGGCCGGAAACAGACCGAATCAAATATTACATTATCTCAAAATTAATCAGAAAAAAACAAAGAGTTTAATTTGGAATCTGTTCGGATTCGGTTATGCAGTGTGATTATTGTTTATAGAAGTTCAAAGTCATCTGTTTGTAATGCATTTTCCAGGTACTCTGACCAATATTAGGCCTATGCTTCATTTACAGGACGCCAAACAAATCTTCGATATATTTCTGTTTCAATATCAGCATAAACTTGATACATTATTAATTACGTAACAAAGAACACTGAATTCCAAATCACGCATAAATAAAGCGGATTTCTACATCGAACCGGAGGGGCGTTGGCAAAGTTATGCAATAATAAAGAGTTTTGGTTAAACAAAATATTACAAGAGAAATAAACAATGGCGAGAACTGTAAAGCCGAATATATATATTTCACTTATATGTATTTTGCAAAGGCACACCCTTATTTACCTTCTCTCTTCTTTATTTTTACATCTATATCTCTTTATAATACAAGATGAAAAACAGAGAATTGTTTGTTCTTGTGTATGCTAGAAAGCATCGATATCAATATTTTGCTGTATTTTTTGACAAGAGACATTACATTTTGTACCTAAACTGTATATATGGAAATAAAATCTAATTTTCACAATCTATTGGTGTCGGCTGTTTGTTCCTCCGGACTCCTGTTGGCTAATTAATTGTGGGGTGAGATTTTCGTTTTGTCTCTATTTTGATTTAGAACCAGTCTGAATGGCGTATTTCAAATTGAATTAATGCGAGCGAACGCGTACGTCTCAAGTAAGTTACATATTTTCCTTTACTCATTGGCAGATCCAGGGGTTGGGAACGTGTAAAACACGTTAATTTTACCCTATTTTTCTTCTCGAGATGGGCCCCCTCCCCTGGCGCTCAAGGGGGAAGGGGGTGCGATTTTTCATATTTCTGAGGCCCCCCCCCCCCCACCACCACCAAAAAAAAAAAAAATAAATAAATAGTGCTCACTGATTCACGAGCATTTTTTTAGGACTTTTTTTCTTCCCCCCCCCCCCCCCCAAAAAAAAAAAAAAAAAAAAATTAGTGAGAAAATATTTAGCAGCGAATCAGCGAATCTAGCTTCGCGAGAGGGCGGAGATCGGAAGGTTGATCCAGGTACGGCGCGCGCGGTATATTAAAGTTGAACTGGTTGATCTCACTCCAGCAAAGCATAGAGAGTCAATCTATGATTTTTGGGTCGTCTGGTAACATCTAATTGCCGCAAAAGTCGTGCCGTACTTTGGCCTAGAGATTCAATGGAAGTTCGTGAGAAGGAAAAACTGTCAAAATCAGACCCAGAGTTACGGTAAGAATATTGAAAACTTGTCTTTTATCACTAAAAAGCTACTAAGGGTGGTTTTGGTTTAAAAAAATACTACTTTTTCCAATTCAGTCCCGTATAGTGATAATTGTGTAATTCTATTTCTTACCGTTCTTGATCTAGATGCACAATGCACATGAGCATTGATGACCACTATATGCGTTGCTGGAGTGGTTATTGAATAAATTGGTTATATCATAACCTTGACTTGTCTAGACTGAACCTTACTTGCATGTGGCACTATTTTAATATAAGCCCAGTACATTAATTCCTACATTACAGTATCATTTTCTTTCACTTTGATTCATTTTTTAGGAGTAAATCACTAGAGTAAAGGAGCCGGTAATCGGCCAGCTCCAGTTTTCGGCCGATTGGTTGGATACAAGGTAAAATCCCTCTAAAATACATCGCATAATAGCATAACACATATCCCACACATACTATACAATGCCAGTGTCACTGAAGAACCACATTTGCAATGAAAAATATATCCACATTTTAGCGATGTAATCTGCGGTCCCGCTACCCGAATCTGAAAAATCGAGTATCTTACGTGTGTCTGTAAGAAATATGGGTACCATAAAATGAGCTTTATTTCAAGTATTTTTCAGATTTAGAGCCCGATTTTGTGCTAGTCGCAAGCTCAAAAGTATCTCATCGCATGTATTAAATCAATGCAGCCGCACACCGCAACGCACACATGATATCTCTGTCTAATTCAGATTCCAATATCCGATCACCGCAGTACTAGTTTTCGGCCTGGCGAGCTCCCGGGAGCTCCGGCGTGGGATATCTGCTCCGCCCGCTAGTGCTATAGATCAGCGCGGAAACGCACACGGCGCGTGCGCGCGCTTCCTATTGACTTTGTACATGCGGCCGAAAACTGGTACGCTATGCCGAAAACTGACTCCGAAACAGTGAAAATTGAAATGAATATTGTCATGGCAATTCGTGATTTTTTTCTGGGATTCTTGTTTTGTTTAAATAATGATAATATTTGCTTCATGATTTGAACAAAAAATGATAATAAATAGGAAGTTTAGGGTCCAAAAAATAGGATTTTGTCTTAAGTGGCCGAAAACCGGCTCCTTTACTCTATGCCTTTATCTTACTCCTGTTCCTTTGTTAGTTTGTTTATAGTGCAGATGTTTTTATGTGATCTTTTTATAATATTTTGTTTGTTTGTTTCACAAGTGCATATTGATCATTTGTTATCAAGTGTATTCAGTGCCTTACTGTTCACAACTTTTTTTTCCAGTTTGATTTTGTAGGAGGATTCATAATCGATGGAGAAATGGCATCAGGGAATTCACCCTCGTCTCTCATTGCATCAAAAGAATCCTCTTTACCATCCTCATCATCTCTGCCTTCAACTTCATCATCACAATCACCCACCTCGCCGATAGTAACACAACCACAGACACCATGTCCTCCCCGGGTAGCCATGAAAACGGACGACTTGATATCCCCCCAGCCAATAAATATCTTTGGACAAGTGACAGACTTCCTAGATCGTCATTTACAAGCTCTTAGAGTAAGTACCCACATTACTTTTGGCGATAAACTGAACTCTTTAGGCCACCGCAACAAGCAAATGGTTCGGCAAGATTGGGCTTTGTGAGAAGAAACAGCAGATAAAAATTTTTTTATTGACAACATGACTATGAAGTACCTGCTGTAGCTCTTTAACAAAACACAAAATAATATGATATCTTTTAGTTCAATTCATGCTTGCCCTGTTATGCTTTTGACTATGGCTTTCAATAATTTTCTTCCTCTTTTTATTTGACCCGATTACAGATTTGTGTAGCTCTGCTTGGGGTGACTGGCATTGTAATTATTGGCAGAAGCATTCGAGTGGTAGGTATAGTTTTTTTTATACAGTATACAGATGATCAATGATCAAGATATATTGAATTTCAGCATGACAATAACTACCAGTATACATTTTGTAAATGGAGCCAATTCTTTTTGAAAAAAGCTTGTCATGGTTGGCCTCATTCAATATTTCATAATCTATGACAATAAATTAATAATCAAATATTTAATTTTTATTTCTTCATTTTGTGCTAATATTGAAATATATTGAAATATATACCCCAAAGTAATAGTTAACTCAAACATATACTGGTATACATTTCTGTACATTAAAACTAGACAGAAGTCCACCCTGTTTTAATCCCCGAGTTGTCTTGAGAATAGATTAATTTCAGTAATCATCAAATACCCTAATGCAAGTTTCTTTTCACTTTTGTTAGATGAAAACATTCCGTGCTGCAGCTGACATACCAGAAGAATTTATCAGGAAGCAGATGACCCTGAGAGGAAAGGTCAGAGGTCACCAAGATCACCAACTCTTGGTAGAACATCTTCCTATCATCCGAGGGATGATGGCCGGAACAAAGAAAGGAAAAAGAGGTGGGTTCAAACAATTTTCAAATGTAAAGGTCATTGTGGTGGTGTCGTGGTTTGGTGGTTCATTCACTTGACTCTCAATCCAAGGGGTGCGGGTTCGAATCCCAGCCCAGCACTGACATCCTATGGGAAGACATTCATCCACATTTGCCACTCCGTTTTTTGCCACTAAAAATACCATTTTAACGATTGTATCTTATTTATTTTAAAATCTCATTCGTTCTTTTGGCAATCCCACAAACCCTGACAATATCTAACATTATGTGATTTTCTTGTACTGAGACCAAAAACAAAATCCTAGAAATATATATCTCCCATTTCGGATGTCTCCCTGTGCATTCAGATTCATTTCTGCCTGTGTGTCTGGCAGGAGTCCATGTTTCTGAGGGTGGCTTGACTCACCTAGTCACCATGACTCCTGTTGCCTCCCTGATCAGGTTTAGACTGCTTGCTGTGAACGAGGCACGGCAACTGGAATGCATCGTCACAAGGAGAAAGGTATTGCACTATTGAAGCATGGCAGGCATCCTCACTAATTTTTGTTTGGCAGGTTCAGATTTAAAGTTTTAGAGTCTGAATGCATGAGCCAACTAAACATTTTTGGAAAGTTTAGGGGTCCGGAGTTAGATTTTGAGTGCCTATGTTTCTCAGGTGCCTGTTAGTGATTAGTCCTGCACCATATCACCGTATTTAGGAAACAAGTTTGAAATTTGCGAAAATCTAGACATCAAGACAATAATTTACATTTGCCAGTCTCAACCCAGGTGTAATACATGATTCAAAGTGATTTCTTGATTTCTTTCAGTACCGTAGCGACGCTTGGCTGAAGCGAGAGATTCTGTAGCACCTTGAGTATCCCTTGGGATGGATATGTGTGCAGCATGATTATAGCTACAGTCAAACCTGCTTTAGTGACCACCTGTCTACAACAAGCACATTTTTTGTTTCCCATGAAAATGGTTTCTCATCGAAACATGTACTAAAGACACCTGTCTACAAAGACCACCAGTCTACAACAAGCACATTTTTTGTTTCCCTTGGGCGGTCGCTGTAGACAGGTTTGACTGTATTATTAATTTTAATTTTATGTTTACCATTGTTTATTTTTTGTTATCACATGTTATTCCTGTTCTCCCTCCTGTCACTGTGTCTCTTCACACTTGATAGAACTTTGTATCTTCACTGATGGTGAACGAGTCCTTGGTGAGGCAAGGGTTTGCTCGCGTTAAACCAGCCCATCCGTCAGTTGCGCTCCACCCAACAACCCTCCGACTGATCCAAAGACTGTCCAAGGCAGAGCTCCACGCTGAGAAGAAGGCCAAGGGGATCTGGGCCAAGCCCCCTCTCAGGGAGAGAATGAATGAGAGAGCTCGAGAGATGAAGGATGGGTTGAAGGAGAGGTTGGTGTCCACCATGACGCCTTTCACTGTGGGCATGAATGCCATCAAGGCAGCAGGGGCGAGGGTAGGTGCAATCATCAGATGGCCCAAAAAGAGATCAAAGAATGGTTGACTGGAACTCTTGAGGAGAAGGGAGAGAATGAACGAGAGAGCCCGAGAGGTGAAGGATGGGTTGAAGGAGAGGTTGGTGTCCACCATGACACCTTTCACCGTGGGCATGAATGCCATCAAGGCAGCAGGAGCGAGGGTAGGTGCAATCATCAGATGGCCCAAAAAGAGTTCAAAGAATTGTTGACTGGAGCTCTTGAAGAAAAGTTGTTGCAGGACTTTGGAAATTGCCACCAAAGCAGCAGGAAAAGAGATTACTTCAGAAGGCTAAGAGAGATATAAAACAGTCGTTTACTGAAAGAGAAGTTTAAATCAATCAAACTCTTATTATTGAAAAATAATTGCACTGAAAATATATTCATTCAGTAAAGGATGTCATCTGCTTGTAGAGCTTGTATATCCCAGATCTTGAGAGGTGCTTTTACTTGTGTTAATTTTTTAATTCTCCATTACACAGTTGATCTAACACTCATATGATTGTCATCTGTAAGCTCCCTGGTTTCTAGTGATCATCATTGGGTATATTTGTGATTTTCTTTTATTGTCTACTTTAAAGATAAAGACCAATTATGGTCATGCGATTGCATTGTGAAAGAAACGTTGTGGAATCGATCAGAAAAGGTTGATCATCTAGCATATAAGTTTTGGTGTGTTCTGCAAGGTTCTGGAATCATCAAAATGATAAAGAAATTTGGCCCAGTCTTGGTAAAGTTACAAGCACTGTGCACAGAAAAATGTATATGGGACTATGCATGGGCGATATCTATCAGGTCCAAATAGTTATAATAATTTACCAAATATATCAGTAGGCGGTTTCTTGGCAAAATTTGTATCATCACGTATAGTCAAAACGTATTCTTTCACATGATTGGTAATAAGAGCTTCCATTTCATTTTTTGAGAGGGGGGCGTTTCCAAAACTGACTCATTACCTTTAAGAAACTACAAGTCTTTTAGTGAATGAAGACAGTTTCATCTTTTTTAGATGATTTTAGGGTGTGGTGAATTATCAAAGCTTGATTTGATTTCCTGTATACCTTGTCTGTGTCCATTCATTAGTCAGTATTACAATTGTGTTAAACTCTGCAGTGCCTTTATATCCTGCCAAACTGTATTGAATGAATTATCCGTTTGGTAAATATGAGATAATGCTAATTAAAACCAGTAACACCAGAAACCACCATTAATTATTTAAGTTGAGCAGTTTATATAAAGGGTTACACCAACGAGTCTGAATCATAAAGACTATCCCCCTTTTACTAATAGGGCCTATATATCTATGGCCCAACTTTACTTTTGATCCGAGTTACGCTACATATGATACAATTCTCTCCACTCAATATTTTCTGTCTCTCTCTCTCTCCCCCCTCTCCATTCAATACATTCTGTCTCTCTTTTTTTATCGCTATTCACTACATTCTATTTCACATTTGTAAATGCTTTCTTGATCTATTCGCCCAAACAACAGCGTAACGCATTTTCTTTTTCATATGTATCTGTATATTCAGAGCCAGAAGGGCATTAGCTCTCGAGTTAACACCCTTTTGGCTCCAGAATGAAGAGTCTTCTTTAACCCCTCCTACATTCTTGCTCATTAGGCGGTGTCACAGAGGCCAAAAATCCGGATTTTAGTTATCCTCTTAATTGGCTGTCTCATCAATTATCCCTTCAAAAATCCCTTTAAAAATCCTCTAACGAAGCAAGTCAGCGTTTGACTTAGCGATTGGCTGGCATATGTTTTTTAACAGCGCATGCGCGATGGCCCATCAAAAATTCGGATTTTAGTTATCCAAATTATTTGTAGCCTGTCTGTCACCGACTCAAATTAATAAACTAGATTTCTAAAATCTGGTTCATTCAAGATGGATCAGGATTTTTCTGTGTGACACGGCCTATAGTCTCTCTTGTACCAGTCGCCTCAATCTGAATCAAGTCCATGATATCCCAAGAATAAAACAATGGATTCTTTCTAAATACTTCTGTTTTTATTGAGGTTTATCATATCACATTCACTTGGAGGCTCACACAAACGACACTTTCCAAAAGGGGACAAAAATCTGAAGGAAATACTGCACATCAAATCCAACCCTCTACAAAAATGTCAAAACGTCCAACGTTTGAAAGAAAAATCTACAATCCTGATTGATAATGATGAAACCAACTATAAAATTCAGCATAATGAAACATATCATCTATGGATAAAGTTTTTAATTTAAAGCAGTCATGACTGCCCGACTCCTGGAGCCAGTGAAAGAGTCCAATTCGAAACTTGACATGTTAACAAAAAGTCTTTGATTTTAACAGTTCCTGTGAATTAGAATTTAACATACATTTTCTTTTGAAGAAATTAGCACTAGCACTGTTCGACATGATAGTATATAAGAATCTTCACGAGTATGTGATTTGTTTGATTTTTTTTCTCGTCCTGTGAATTAAGATAGTACATGAAAAAAAAAGCTCCTTTAAAAAGCTGCAATATTACTAGCACTGTTCAACTTAAAATAGTCACTGTACTTTTGAACGTCCATCTGCGTGAGGGAGAATACTTATATTCCATCATTCTTAAAAATATCCACAAACTTCTATGAAGATCGATGGCAACTGCTGTTCCGAGATTAAGTGATACGAAATGCAGCTACCCACATCAAATATGGAAAATGTACACATCGATATCCCCAAGGTAATGAATATAATGCAAGGATTGCTGTAAAACCACTGTAACACAAGACAAGCACAAGATGAATTTGGCAGTATATGTATGACAACCCAATAGTGGTTTAGAGATTCTAACGATCCCACAGACCCTAATTTAAATATTATACTTTCAATTTTTGATGCTTTGCACCAAAACGTATCCAAGAATATGAATTTGTAAAAATCTAAACCTTGCTTAATGTCATACATTGTCGTATTGGAAGAGCCATAACAATTCTACATCAAGCGAGAGGGTAGCACAACAACACCCTGTCCATACTCGATACACATATTGCTTGATCTGTTTTACATTACGTTACGTTATGTGCATGATGACAGAGCTTTACAGACACTTTGATATATTTGTGAGTGGGTGAATTAGGAAGGTTTAAACACTGCGAAGTCATTTGATTATAGGTTTGAGATGAGTGGAACGTCCGCTCATGATGATTTGGAGGCCATGAACAAGATGAGGTCGATAACGCGGAAACTGTAACCGTACTCGTTGTCGTACCTAGGTAAACAAACAAACAAACAAAAAGGAAAGACAACATGACAAGGCAGGTCCAAATCTTATAATAATAATAATAATAATTCTTATATAGCGCACGTATCGACCTTGCAAAGGTCCTCAAGGCGCTCCAACATTACCCAGCTATGTCAGGCTGCCGATTTCGACGCTCACAGCATAGGCGGCACATTACATGCTCTGGAGAGTGGGGTAGAGGAGGGGGGGGGGGGTGATTCATAAAGACTAAGATTGACCTTTAAAGTTGAACTTGACCTATGGCAGGCTGTTATGCCACTGGTTTCTCTCACCAATCTTGACATTGGTCTTTTTAAAGGGGCGTGGTTTCAAATCTACAGGATTTATTTTTGGTGATAGTTCATTTAAGAAAAAGAAGTATTAAGTTCTACGTAAGACTTGAGCAATCGAGAAGAAAACAAAAATCAGGAAAAAAAAATTAAAAATCTGAAAACCTATTTAAATCAGGTAATTATCAGGCCTGATTTATAAAATTAAAGGACACAGAAGTTATCACTATTTCATACAAAGTAACCAACTCTGTGGACTTACCATGTTACTAGTTTTACAAAGTTGTCATTGAGGGCGATACCGGCACCAGCATCAAATATGCTGGAGTGCATGTCTCCACGGAAATCTTGAGAGACAACCTGTGGGCGGAATAACATTATATAATAATGATTAATATACTTATAGTGCTTGGATCCACCATGCACCAAGCTCTAGGCGCTTTAATACATGTACAGTCAAACCTGCTTTAGTGACCACCTGCATAGAAAGACCACCTGTCTACAAAGACCACATTTTTTTGTTTCCCTTGAAAAATGGTTTCTCATTGAAACATGTACTAAAGGAACCTGTATATAAAGACCCCCTGCCTATAAAGACCACTTTTCTTGTCTCCCTTGGACGGTCCTTATAGACAGGTTTCACTGTATTAGTTTCGGCTCTAACTAGGCTACTGCTCATACCATTCAAGCAATTCCTAAATACCGCTTCCTATTTAATACCTGGGTGGAGATAAAGAGTGTACTTCAATATCTTGCTGATAGACCCCAGTGTTGGCCAGATCATGACACCCCCTACTGTCCATGTTTAAAAGGCCAACAAATCCCACAATAGAGTACCGAAACTGTGACATCATACAAATCTATTTTTTTAAGAATTTCTCAATTTTTTCTTAATTTTCCAACATGTTATGAACCAGAGCAATATAACACTGAGTTCCTATAGGAAATCTATTTATTCAGGTGGTCATATCTCATTCAATACTTAACATTTTCAATTGGTTTTCGACATTCAGACATTATTTTTTATTCTTTCTGAAAATGGAGAAAAATTTGAGAAATTCTGAAAATAGATTTTTGATGACGTCACACTTCACCACTCTATTGTGATTTCATTTTTTTAATCATTATAAACCTCAATTACAACATTTTATGATTAAATTTACTTAACGAATGTATTTGCAATATCTTTCAAAAACGCGCTTCTAAAAGGATCATGCAATACGTGGTAGGCTCCAGATGCTTCGAATACTCCATGGTAATGACTTAATATTGCAGATTACTCGCAAGTTAACAATCAAGTCCTGGGTTCCGTTTCACGAAGCCTTTTTTCAGTGACAAATAACAGAAATCAGTGACAAATCTGCTGATAACCAATCAGAAGCAAGGATTTTCAGTAGCTTATTACAAAAACTGTCATTTGTCACTGGTGACAAGTTTTGTGAAACACCCCCCAGGCGCACACCAGTTTTAGAAGAATTTGCAATAGAGTACCGAA